TATTATCTCACTCATCAGAGTTTTATGGTATACACTGTGGGCACTTTTGTGTTAGCATTTGCATAGCACTAGCACAGTGAACCTTTGCTAGTACAGCCAAGGGGACTGCTCATGGTCTCAGCTCAGTTACAGGTGGCACATCCCAGATACTATTGCTAGAACTGACAAAGATCTCTTCATTTTGTTTGGGAGCTGGTGGTGGTTTTGGAACTTGTGTAGCTTCCTGTGTGTCTGAGCTGTACTAGATAGAATGCCTTCGCTTGTTGCGTGAGCAGTGTTCTGCTGTGAAGAGTTGTGGTGTGAGATTTGCCTTTTTTTCTTTTTTTGGTAAGGGTGTGGGATAACACCAGAAGGCAGTTTCTGTGACCAGTGTCTGTGTGTTTAAGCCAGTGACCACTAAAAGCCAGTGAGAATTCCCTGAGCCACTGGTACAATTGTGTCCTGGAAGCCTTGACAAATATTTAGTGCTTTATGGTTGGTCTTTATATTTACCCTTCTTTTAAATGGGTAGCTTGGAGAGATATAGGCAAACAATTACAATTCATGGGTTGTGTTTGAAATCTGTAGCTTGTGGGCAAATGAAGTGACTGGACTTCAGATTAACTTTGTTACTTGAAGACTGAAAATATTTGTATATGTCTGAGTTTGCTGGACTGTAAATAATACGAAACTTATTACAGGTGTCTTACCTATATAAAAATCAAATTACGAAGTACCAGAAAACTTTGAAAGTCTCTGTGTATGTGTTGCTTGGTATTCTTTGGATGGCTCTGGATACACAACAGTATTAATGGTATTGTTGTCTTGTTTCTACTTTGAAGGATTATAAAATATGGACAGGTCCAGCTGACACACTGCTTTCTAATAAAACTCTTGGAATGTGAAAAATCATATTTTTTTTTTAATCATAGGTTGCAGTTCCCAAAGATCGAGTGTGTGCATCATCTATTAACATGCCAGAGATGTCTCTAAATAGCTCAGTTGTTGTTGAGTAGGTCAGATGCAAGCTCAGGCTGGACTGGGATTCAGAACAGAGTATTTACTCTTCCTGTCTTGCCAGCGGGACACAATCCTTTGGGTACGTACATAGAAAGCGGGGCAGGTACTAGGAATTGGACGGCTATGCAGGTTGCACAGGATGTTGACGACTGGCTGCTTCTGTGAATGGCATGAATCAGGAATTTGGAACTCCTGAGGTGACTGCACTAGTCACAGAGCTGGAGCTATTCTGGTGTCTTTCAGGATTCTCTCTGCTGCCTCATTGCTTCATGGCCAGAAATAGATAACTTTTTCTGACTAGGCCGACTGCAAAGGTTGCATGCCCCTTGCTGTCTGAATTCCCTCCTGACTGATTTAAGAATTTCTTGTTTGGATACCTTCCTCCCTTCCATATTTAGTTAGGAGTGCTGCTTTGTCATCCCTCTGGTTATACATCTCATTACTTTTTCTCCTCTATTCTTTGTCATCTGATCTTATAAAAGTTTGTAGCTCTCTAGGATATCTTAATCTGTCTTCTGTAATTCTTCTCATGCCTTTTGTGTAGCTGAGGACTTTGCTGTAAAGAGTTTATGAGCTGGTTTTCAAGATAACTAAACTGATCTAGCTTTGGACTATGCTGTAAGAGGCAGGTCTCAAGCCTGGTTGTGCACACCTTGTAGTTGCCTTGAGTAGGTAGGAGCAGTCAGGGCTTCTGGTCAGTTGGCCACAACAAAGCTGACTTCTGTGAGGACTGAGAAATCTGTAAGCTATGGAGGCTTTTGGTTCATGTAAGCAGTTGGATGTTTGATTTGTTCATGCTCCAGAGGAGGAGTTAGAGTAGCTGATAGCATCCTGTAAACATAGTAGAGTTATGAACACAAGTAACTGGTTTTTTGCAAGCAAGCAAACAAAAAGGCCATGAAAACAGCTTCTTTTATCTGGAGTCTTTCTGCCTGGTTTTTTTCTTCTGAGACTTTGAAGATTTTTCTGTGGCTGGAGGTGGGAAATTAGCTAATGTGAGCTGGCTTCCTCTGGCTTTGGAAAAAAACCCCTTAATGAGCCTTGCATATGTTTGACAAACAAACAAATTGTTTGACAGATTTGTGGTTGGAAGAAGATTTTTGACATTCCATTTTATTTAGGACAGTTGAGAGGTTTTTTGCTTTTCATTTTGCATATGGTTTGCTTCTTTGAAACATCAAGGCATTTTTACTGTGTAGGTTCCTACTAGCCTTGGAACTAATGATTTTAGTTTAAAAAAAAGAAAACCTGCAGAAGAATTTTCTTCATTTAAATATTGCTAAGATCTTTTTGCACAAAAGAAAGAAGTTCCTCTGATGCCTAGAATTGTAACAGTGCCTTTTATGCTTTATGGTAACTAGCAGATAGAAATAATGATTGGTCAGAGATGAATTCTTACTGTCACCTGAATCTTTAAGAGAAGGAGATTATAAACAGTTTGTTTTCTTTAGAGAACTGCTGGCCGGTTTTAATTCCAGACTTTATATTGGTGGCACGTAAAAACTGAACAATAACACACAAAAGAATATGTAAACCCCAGATACGTCTTTCAAATAATTCCCATGTCCTTGGAGAAGTTGCTTTTTAGGGTCAAAGTAATCTGTTAAGAGCAGGTCATGTTGCCTCATTTTTTGGGCCCAGCTTCAGACTTCTGTTATTTAGGATACACCAATGTATCTGTTGAGCCAGAACATGTAACATTGCAGCAAACGGCTAAAGTGTTGAAAGAAGTGTATGTTGAAATCAGCATGACTGCCAGTGTGCACAAGGTTCTCTAGGAAAAGATGTGATTTATTTTTTACATCTAAGTTGCTTTTCCTACCTGCTTATCATAACTAGGGGCTTGAGGTTTGAATTTTCCCTTAAAGATACCCGCCTAAATTGACCTGCTAATGCAAAAAAAAAAAAAAAAAAAAGGCAAATATGGGAAAAACACTTAGTGGTATTGTATGTGCTTTTATGTGTTGTGGCTTCCTGCTGTTAGCTGACTGGTTTTAGGCTAGTACCTATTGTTAGGACGGGTTCTGGCCTTTAGCTTTAAGCTTGACTTGGACTAGATTTCCCTCCTTCCCCTTCCCGTTTTCTCTCTGTAAACTGTATGTTCCATATATGCTGTTACTCAAAAGGATTTCCTACAGGATTTGATAACGTACTTAACTTTTGCTAACCTTGCTCCTCACCTGTATGTTCATAGAGCTCTCCTTCTAATCGTTGCTTGGCAGACAGCAAAACTAGTAAGGCTAGCTGTTAGCAAATATTCTAGGATATTGTTGGTAATTTCCTTGTTTACATATTGAACCCTGCCATTACTGTGCTAGTATTTGCATTAATTTTAATGCATGTCTCCCAACTTCCCTTGGTGTTGGTCACAAAATTAACTATACCCTTACAGTTTTTTTTCAGTGAGGAGGTTTCTTCAAAGGGCAAAGTAATTAGAGGTGTGTTTACCTGCTACACTTTAATTTTGTGTTTGTGGGACTGTATGGTTAACTAGATTGCTAAAACCACCCGTTTTAAAAGCACATAGCTCCTCCACTACATATTCATCTGTAAGTAGACTGGAGGGGGAAGGTAGCATGGCAGGGTATTTCTTAAACTGGTTTTGCCATTTGAGGAAATGTGTGTGTAACCACATCCCTAAATAAAGCTCATTAATCTGAATTTAGCAATGTATTTTGAAGATGTACCAATTTATTTTAAAAGGAAGTCTCTCTTTAATGTTTATATGCCAGGATGTTGAAAGATACATGTAATACTAGTACAGTAAATTAATTTCAGAATATTTTACTGGGCTATAGCATGCTTGATTCTTTCAGCATTTGTGTGAAAGACCATGAAAATGAGGCTTTGCCGGGGCTGAAATGAGAAACACTGAATGACTTGGGGGAGGAGTGATTTAAATGAATTTCTATTGATGTATGGATTAAGAAAATGTGACTAATACATTGCTGTATTGTTACATTTTGCATATATTTGTGAGACTTTGCCTGCACTGAGTTATTAACTCATTGGAAAAGTCAGTGTTGCCTTGTTCAAAAAAACTTGAAACAGCAGCAGTGGTAGGATGGAAAGGTGGTTGAAAGTTTGGCCAGAACGGAGACTTGTTGCACTGGTGGGAGAAGGAGTCTTTGCATGAAGACATGAAATGTTCTTGACATTTTTAGAAAGATTCTTCTATCTTCGTTGTCATTTAGTTGGAGTAATGGTTAGTATAACTGGTCTTCAACTCTTGATATTGACAAGAAATGGTCAGTATTTAAATTGAGTCGGGTGAATGTTTTTTGACTTCTAGGTTTCTTAGGGCTCTTGTGAAAACTTCATTCTCTTAATACTAAGAAACACAAGGTGCTTCTGTTCTTCTGTTGGTTGGTTAACCCTGTAGTTTGAGCAGTCTTGCCTGGCTATGTGCTTTATGTTGGTAATCATAAAGTAAATGGAATTCAGTAGCTTTGGCACTGAATTTTCAGCCAATGTTTGAGTACAAGAATGGCTTATTAGAATCTGTAGGTGGAATTTTAGATGTCTAAGACATACATTGTGTTAAAGGGAGCGTCTCAGTGGAAGTAAGAGTAGACGTGAAAGGTGTGGTCCTTTCTTTATGGTTATATATGCTTAAGAGATGACATGGGTGTCAGAAGGCAAAGTGAAAATGATATATGGTTTCTTCTGCATTCAGTTACTAATGTATATATCAAGATGCTGACACTGTACTTATATTAATATACTGATTAAATCTAGCTTTTCAGTCTGATTTGTTTCAGGAACCTGCTGTTTACTGGTTTCTCTGTGTACTGTGTTTTAGGGGGATTAAGTAACATAAAAATATGTTAGAATGTCAGAATAACAGTAATTGTAAGTATCTTTATTTTTTAGGCTTTGGAACATTTGAATTTCTAAAAACCAGCTCAGATCAGGTTAGGTGGTGAAAGATACTATGCTCCTACCTGACTTCTATGAAGTAGCATTACTGGACAAGCTTCATTTACAAGTTCTTGTTGTTACAGAACTTGAAAGGCTCAGCTGTTGTTAAGACACCTACTGAAAGATGGTGGATTATTATGAAGTTCTCGGAGTGCAAAAGCATGCCTCAGCAGAGGATATTAAAAAAGCGTAAGTATAACTTGCATATGTTTAATCTAAGTTATGTATTTTAAGGAACAAATATAATCACGTGGTTTCTGGATTCTCACTTTAAGGTTAATACTAGGGTGAGTGTTAGTCATCTGAGGTGATAGCTTTGCTAACGGAGAAATGTTCAGTGTTCTGAAGAAAAAGCGTTTACTCATTCTTGTGAAATTGGGAAAAGAAACCTGAGTACTGCTAAAGGGAAAATGCTGTCAGTCACTGGGTTTTTGATCACTGTTAAAAACATTTCTGCAGAAGTGTGCTTCCAGACTTGATACGGTACAGGCAGTGGCAGTCCCTTCTTTGGCTGAATTGCAGTAACTAGTCTTCCCTTCCAGCTTTGCAGAGGTGCTTTTACAAACTTATTAACAAATATTTGGCATGCTGCTTATTTGGATGCTAGCTCTTTCTTAACATGAGGTTTGGTTTCTGTGCTTAGATTTGGATGGACTAAACATCCATTAGTATTCTTCTCCACCCCACTCATAAAATTAGGAAATTATTAGAGTTCAAAGGAGTTGTGTACCGTTCTTTGTTTAGATTTACTGTTTATGTACTGTTTTAAGATGGATGTTCCTAACATTTTCAAAAGGTACCGTTTACTTTTCAACAAACAACTGGGAGGAACACATTTCTGTAGTACTCATTTCTAGTATACCAAAACTGTTTGCCAGTAAATTGCAGTTTCAAGTGATGTGAAAATACTGTGTTTCAGTTTTGCCTTCTCTTAGGCTTCTGAACTTAATTAACCAAGTTAGGGCATGGAAGTTTGATTTATGTGGGGTTTTTTTTCCTCTCTTACTGTTTCGCAAATTGCTGCACATACTGCTTTGTCAACTCAAATGTTTGAGCTGTGTTATTGTATGACTCTGTGTGAAGCACTCCAACTTAAGTGCAAGATTAGCTTTGCTCCTCTAAGTAGTTATGAGCACTTTGCCTAAAATGTTTCATTTGAGGATAGGAATTGTGTGCAGGTATAGCAGTCAAAGAAGTGACTGGTGTTAGGCTGCTGCCAAAGTTTGGTATCGGGGTACTCCTGGAGCATTACTGTCTTTCTCTGGGCCAGAATGCTTCCCATGATTGGCTGTTGTATTAAATAATTATGGAGCTCTGAGAAGCCCATAGTAGAAATGTTATGGAATGTTTTTCTTAAACCTGCCATATGTTGATCATCAGAAACACAGAGGAATATTCTCAAAACAACTAATGAAACCTAAACCCACTTTTTTCTTTGTGTGTGTGTGTTTTGGGGTTTTTTTTTGTTTTTTTTTTTTTTTAACAGATCTGAGTAGATGGTTCTTGGTGTACCTGCAGAATCTGTTGATACTGGTTTAGATGCAAGATACAAAGCACTGGGGAATTTCTAAATGCTTTAATCCTTGACAACCTGCTTGAAACATTTTGTGTTTATCTGTAAAGTGCATTCCTTCATTTCAGAGTAAAATATCCTTTATTTTCCTTCCATTTAGGTACCGTAAATTGGCACTAAAATGGCACCCTGATAAAAATCCAGACAATAAAGAAGAGGCAGAACAGCAATTTAAACAAGTAGCGGAGGCCTATGAAGTTTTGTCAGATGGTAAGTATTTTAAAAGGGCTTTTGCCTGTCTCTAGTCTGGTTAACAGACTGGAAGTGCTGATGTATGATGCTTTAAAAGGGATGTTGTAACTTTGGTTTACTGTCCAGCTCAACTACTTCCCTTTCAAAAGAAGAGAGAAAAAGAATCTTGCAGATAAGATAGAATAAGCAGAAATTTCAAAACAAGAATTTTTAGACTCTCTGTAGATGAGTAATCAAATCAGTTTCCTTCTAGAAATTGAGATCTTATGTTTGCCAGGCCCTCTTCAGAAATTTTTGAAGATCTGTCTGTGAATACCAAGTCTTTTTATCTTGGGAGGTGAGCCAATGTTACCATCAGTACAGGAGAATTATGGTATTTATCCAGTAAAAGTCAGGCTAGACAAGCTCTGAAGTATCTGCTGCTGGGCCTACTGCTTCTAGTTCTTGTTACAGTAAACTAGTCTTGACAAAGCCAAGCATATTGTAAACCTTGCTGAAAATTTGGATTGCTTTTGGGTGAATTCCATAAGTTCAGTCATCAGAGGTACTGAGGAGAGTGTTTATATTGAATTGTTCAAAAAAAGTTGGTTAGCTTCACCCACATGGTGCAGGAATTCAGCTTGTAGTTCACTCCTGTCTTCTTGCTTGGAAAGCATCATTAACTTCTGCTGATGTTCTGGCAAAAGCAGCCTGAATCGTAACAAAGTGATTTAAGCTACTTTGATTATTTTTCCCCTGTAATTGACTGCAGCTGTCTATGCTATTTCTGAAGTGTCCTTGATTTCACCTGAGACCAGTGAGCAAGGGAAAGCTATATTTAAAACACTAGCAGCATCTAGATTATCTTTCAGAATCTGGCCTCATTTATCAAGCTGTACACCCTGTTTTGGGTTGGGTTTTTTTGGGTTTTTTTTTTGATACTCAATTGACTTTGGCAAAAGAGAATTTATTGTCAGTTCCTTGTGTATTTGTCATCTAGAGTAGTTTAACCTTATGCAATTTTTTTTTTTTTTTTTGAGCAAGATAAAAATAGGATACTGGTCTGGTTGTTTTACGGATCTTAAAGTTCTTTGGAAAGAGTACACTGCTAGAATTTTAAAACATCTTCTAAAAACGCTGCCTGGTTTTGGATCCAGACCAAATCCTAAGTTACTGGTGTCTCGACATTCATTTGTGCAGCAGGGGTATCTTGAATCCTGAGCCCTGTGGTTGAGAGGCAATCAACTGTTCTGCAGACTTAATGAAATTTTCTGACACTATTACAGGCTTGAATGAATACAAATTTTTGGCAGAAGAATAGTTTTGTAAGGGGTTACATAAGCAAAGAATACTGAAATTGGGTGATCACAGAACATACTTCTCTTGTGGTTTCAAGAACGGTACATTTTTCAAGATGAACTTCAGGCTTTGTGAGCCCTCGGGTCGTCTTTGCTGTTTCCTGTTCCTTCTGGCAGTTTGTCTGCCTTACTGCTTTGGTCTTTTTACATTGGTGGGTAGGTTAACCTCCTCTCTTTAAAATTGCTTTCCAGAAAGGTGATACAGATAATGTACCAAGCTTTGCTGGGTTGTGTGTGTGGGATCCTATTGCAAGTTTCCATTATTTGGAGATGACCAGTATATAAAATTTTAATTCCTGTTAGTCAGGAGTATTTTACTTTTCAGCAGCTGTTTGAGGTAACTGCATGTTCTTTCAGTGATGCTATTTAAATTTCAAAAACATCTTTCACTAAGAAGATTCCAGTGGGAATAGTATGTTAATACTAAGAGTCTAAAATCAGATGCCCCTACTGTTTTTTGGCTGATACTTCTACACTAATGCGAACAAAATGACTGAGTGTCTGCCTCTGTAAACTCTTGAGGTTCCCTTCCAGAAATGACAGAGCAGTCTTCTGTAGTAATGCAGAATTAATTTTTCTCCCTTTTCTTATGGATACTGCAAGGCTGGTCTGCAGTGAAATTAAGAAAGAGACATTCCATGCCTTCTAATATAATAGAAAGCGAGCAGTTTGAGTCACATCCTTCCATGGCATTTTTTTAACATCGTGTCATTCCTCTTTATTAAACTAGAAGTGGTTATAATTAATTTGAGGGCTTTTGCAGTCACTCATACAGACACTGTCCTTCATTCTCATAGCTCTGCTAAAATGGGCTTGATCTTGTGCAATAGGAAGAAAAGAGGCAGTGGTTGAGGTTTGTAACAAGGGAGATTCCAGTTGGATAGAAGGATGACAATGCTAAGAGTGAGAATGCTTGAGCCCTGGGACTGTTCTCCAGAGCAACTATAAAATCTTTTCTTGGAGATGGAGGAGATCAGGGCTTTACCCAGACAAGTTTTGATGAACTTTGAGATTTGGCTTTTTTGGAGGAGAAGGTTGAATTTCAGAGGTGCTTTACAATCTAAAGCTATGATACCTGTGTAAAGATGAAGACTGCAATATTTTTTTAAAGACAAGCTTCTTTGTGAAGTTTGTCCTTAAACCTAACTTTTTTTCTGGTACAACAGGGCCAGAACTTCTACAACTAAATGGTAGAACTCTTATGGTTTAGTACCTGTTCTTTTAGAGCCTAAATTGCTTCAACAATCCTCAGTAAGAATGTTCACCTAGAGGCATGCCAGAACTTTGACAGATAAACGAGCTTTGAGAAGTGTATAGCTGAGAATACCAGTTACATTTTTTGTTGTGGTGTTTTGGTGTTTTGTTTTGTTTTCTTATGAAATCCAGCATTCCTATTTACTGACATTTACAACTTCTCCTTGTAGCTAGAAAACGTGAGATCTATGACAGATACGGAAAAGAAGGCTTAATAAATGGAGGCGGAGGTATGTTGACAACTACCAGTTCTTTGCTTTCTCTATTCTGGAGCTTTCTTTTAAAGACAGGAATCTGAAAATACCTGTACTAAGGCCTAAAATGTAACCTTCTGAAAACTGAAATGACAGTGGTTTTTACAGTTTTTCTTGTTGTAGTAAAAGGTATTACTGATATCTGTAAACAGAGACAAGATAATGAGTTACGAGAAGTACTGTGTGGTCTTCATACTTGGAAAGAGAAATTTTAGAGATGAGTTTATATTTTTATGTTTCAAATACCATATATGCCTGAACTTTCTTGTTAGTAAGAATGTGTGAGGGTAACTGAAATTTAACATCTTTTTGCAGGTGGGAATCATCTTGATAATGCGTTTGAATTTGGATTTAAATTCCGTAACCCAGAAGATGTGTTCAGGGAGTTTTTTGGTGGAAGGGACCCCTTTTCATTTGACTTTTTTGGTAAGTAGTCCACATGTTTTAGTTATGTTTATCTAAAGTTGCTAAAACTTTGCTCTTGCAAAACAAATACAGCTAATGCAGCTTTATTAGAAATAGCTCTGAGAACTGGAGGTAAACAGTCAGTATTTTGTATTAGATTTAAAATGCTTATTTCCTACCTGTTTAGTCTTGATTTATTTGATAGTACAGAACAGATACGTTTTGGTGGAAGTCCTGGTTTAAAAAGCCATAAAATTGTGGCTGCTGTGTCTCTAGTTTGGAAGTAACTAACATTCAACAGAAAAAGTATACACTGGAATTCCCTTTAGAGAATTTGACTGGGTAAATTTAATCTGTTGAATTTGATCTCCTTTTGTCTGTAAATATTTAATGTAGCATTGAGAGGTTCTGAACTGGACAGGTTAACTGTAACACCAGAGCTCTCAGCTTGAACTTGGATCCT